AACTAGTACAGAGCCCGTGCGATGCACGGGGTGCACAAATTTAAGGTCATTTATTCAGTCTTATAATTATATAAATAAATACAAAAAATGTACGGGATATATATAGTATGTGACTGGTAATAGGCCAAAATGTGAACACGAGTGATGCACGGGGTGCATAATTTTAAGGTCATTTATTAATACAGAGCTTGTGTGATGCACGTCGTGCACAATTTTCTAGTATGTGTAATACAAATACATACCGTATGCACAGGACAAAAGCACTAAATGAGTCATTTGCACAAAACTTGCCCGTTAAGTAGCTCCTGAACACGGGTGCACAATTTGTAGTACTTACCATAAAATCAGAATAGATTTCCATACAATTAGATAATAAATTAGATAATAAATAAATCCTTTTTTATTTTAGTAAAGATTTTACGTACTTTTTTTTACTTATCGGATGTTATGAGATTTTTTTTGTTAAACCGAATTTTTGGGATATAATACAAATACAATTAGAGGATTGAACAAAATCAGAACAAATTGCCATACAATTAAATAATAAGAAGGAATTAGATAAGGAAAAGAAGGAATTAGTTAAGAAAAAAAAAAATTAGATAAAGAATTTTAAATCTGTCTTTTTTTAGTATAAATAGACTTTACGTACAAATTTTGACTTCACTGATTTTATGGGATTTGTTTTAACAAAATCTATGTTACTATAGAATATGACAAATAAATAAAGTCTTTTTTATTTTGGTAAAGATTTTACGCCCTTTTTTTGACTTGTCAGATGTTATGCGATTTTTTTCTTAAACTGATTTTATGGGATATAAGACAAATAAATAAAATTCTGGATAGAAATAGCAATGCATTAATTACGTTGACTTTTCAACCTACTAAATTTGGTAAATAATAATATAGGATACCTTATTATATAAGTATAGATGATATACGTATAGGCATGTGCGATATAAGACAAATAAAGATGATTAATTACTTTCAATCTTTATTTTATAATAATATGTCTTTGTTTTAATTTTATTTATATTTACATGATAGTGTAGGATACCTTATTATTCTCCCGTTGGGAGCTTTGTACTTTTATTCGCACTTTGTGCGTTTTGATTTATAATAGTTCATCTGTCGTTTCGGGAAGAAAAAAAAAATTGAAGAAGTATAAGGGTTGTTGATTTAAAGTTATGTAAGTGAAAATTAAGATATCATTAAATTTTATGTGAGTTTAATATAATATTACATTATGGTTGTCACTCATTATTATGCAAAATTTTACTATGTTATTTATCATCATTAATTACAATAATATTAGAAATTGTACTTCAAGATTTTAATTTTTTATTTTAAATCAATGCCTATTAAAAATTGCTTAGGCCGCCGGAATTGTTCAACTCTTGGGAGTCTCAAATACAATACAAAGGGTTTTATTATTATTATTATTATTATTATTATTATTATTATTATTATTATTATTATTTTCTGAATATTTATTGATTGTTCTACAATAATTCATATTTATGATCTATCTGAGTTTCATCGGTAGATCACTAATTCATAGTCTTATTATGAGCTAGCCGTTTGAAAAAGTAAAAATTAAAATGTTATGGCCTAATAATTTTTTTGTTTAAATTCGATATTTTAGTAGTCCGAGGTCCGATACTCTGATATTACTCATTATGAAAGAGATTAATATTACTCATTTTTTGTGTATACAATAGTATAGGTGATAGACATATAGACTTGTGCGATATAAAATAAATATTGAAAGAAATTAACCATTTTATTTAAAAACAATACAAGACAAATATATTACCTTTTCAATCTACATGCATTAATTAAGCTGACTTTTCAACCTACTAAATTATAAATGCATTAATTACTATTTGATAAAATTAGAAGTTCATTAATTAAGTTTGACTTTTCTACCTACTGTATTTAGTAAATAGGTTCCCCTTTAATATAAGTATAGATACAAGGGAATTATTAAACGAGTTAATTTATTTTGATTATTATCAAATAACTCTAAAATCTTAAAAGAATTGTTCGAAAATATGTTTATTTAGATTGTTTATTTGAAAAATCTGAAAATAAAATAAAAAAAAAATTATTCACGATTCGACTTGATTTGACTCTTTTAATAAACGGGCTCTATTAGGTGTTCGCGTTTGACTCTTAAATGAGTCCAACTCACCAGACAGGACGAGTTGTTTTCGACGTTTGCAAACAATTCAGTTCAAATAATATTTCTAGAATTAACATTTATAAATTAATATTTATATGTACGTATATAACATGGTTATAGTACGATTTAAGAATATTAAGAAACAAAAAATCATTTTTGCATAGCGCCAGAGATTATTTGCATTTAAAAGCAAATATTTCATATTTAATGCTTGTTAATAATGTATATTAGTCGAAAAAGAAAATTATAGGTACAAATTTAGCGAAAACATAAGGAACAAGTGGGACCATAGAAAAGAAAAACAATAAATATAATCATTTAAGTAGGACACACGATTTGTTAACTGTGAGTCCGGAGGGGCCATTTCGTGCCA